TGAAATTGAGGGTCCTTACACGGTAGAAGCAGTTCAGAACAGACCGTGGAAAAGGTGCACTGGCACCCGACTTGCGCAACGGGCTGAGAGCGACCCATTGCTGAAGGAGCGACAATCCGAAGCCACAGTTCCGTTATGCCCGAGATTGTAAACCGAATCAATGACGTCCGAGTCTCGACTGTGACGATGTTTAGACGGCAGGGTATTTCCGGTGCATCTATGTCGACACAAAAGGGCCCCGAAATCTTCAAGTCTCGGCCTGGAAGGATGCCAGGCGCCGAGCCCATCAAGCCAGATATCCTGCCTTCTGCCCGGAGTGTCCACCCTGGACTCCCCAAACCTTGTCCATCTAATCAAATTTGTACCGGTCCGCAATTCACGCTCCCATCCTATTTGGTCTTAATCGACGTCGACACCAAGCTTCCGCAGGTCGACGACGGCCTCGTCAATCTCCGCCATCAGCTCCTTGTGGGCTTCGGGCACATCGTTGAAGGTCATGACGTTGTATCCGAGACGGGCGAGGAGATAGGATCCGAAAGAGATGAGAACCCAGAAGGGCAGCTGCAGAGGCACAAGGGTCAGTAAAGGTGGGCGCGAGGGTTGGCGGAGCCTGTTCAAGGCAAGGGGAAGGACGTACGACGGGGACAATTTCTGTCTGGACTACGGCGGGGATCGGAATGAGCTGGAGATAAAGCGCGAGGTAGAGCTACAGGCGCTGGTCAGCATAGATTCGTGGATCCATGAGATGGGTGGGATGTCGCCGGCGAGAGAGCGAGGGAGGGGTCGTACCGAGCTCACGAGGAGCGCAAGGGAGATGGTCTGCTGGGCGCGGGTCATTGTTGCTGATGGTTCGGATCGCCGAGATTGCCTGGGGAGATAATCAATGCGTTGGTTTGTTGTGTGGGAGCGATCGTGGCGTAAAAGGAGTGACTGGATGCTGTCCCTTGGTTGGAGCCAGATATTCGTAGATGGTGAAAAGGAGTCGCAGCTGTCCAAAAATCGGGAGGAAGCTTGTCTGACTAAGCCACGCCCGGACCCTCCTGCGGCCCCATGTTCCCGCAGTGTACGCCACTTTTCCGGACGCGCCCCGGCTCCGTTCCTGCCCACGCCGGGTCCCGCTCGGATGGTGTCAACCCTCTAGTCGTTCAGTTGTTCATTCATGATAGTTGTCATTGCATTGAGATACAAAAGATTTGGCCTTGGCTTGTCGGTACAACTGATATTCCGCTTCCTGATTGGCCTGGCGTTTCCTACACATTCTCTCGGTTCACGTACCTGTACAGGGACTGTGCAGTCGCACGCCAGTGTTCTTCCTGGTCCTGATTCGTTGCGGCATTCAGTAAACGTTCTAGTGGTTTGCGCCTATAGAAAGTAAACCCCAGACCCTCGCCCTCTAGGCAGGCGCTGGCAACAGCGGGAAAGTGCTGGCAGCCGGGTGCTGGCAATAGTGCTCCAGTTACGGATACACTACTACAATAACTATCTACTAACCCTTTCTGCTTTGGGCCATTTTTCAGCCAACCAAAGTGTTTACTTTTACTCTTCACTGCAATTTTAACCCCCACGCAGGCTTCGTATATCTTTTCCCTTTTCCTCTCGCCTGGTGGTCTCGGAGGCAGCCAGTCGGTTTTGGCTAGGTTAAAAAAGCAGTGAAACGCGGATACAGAAAATCCAAGATACCAGTGAGTTGGCCAACAAAACAGAATTAGAAACTTATCGTCAAGCTCCAGCATGCACAATGAGTTCGAACGGGATGCGATTTTCATTATTGACAATCGTCGCAAGGTTTCAGTTTGCCATGGAGTCTAAGTTGCTGCTGAGTGTATTGTGAAAAATTGACACAAGACGAAGCCGGCGGCGAAGAAAGTCCAATCACGCCCTGCTCTTCCAGCCACCGGCTCCCGCACGGCACTGCAGCTCAACGGCGTCAATAATATAATTCGCGCTCAAAAAGCCCCGGTCGCCGGTGCCGAAAACCCCTAGAGTGAGAGTGTTGGCGCCATTCTTCAACTCAGCGGCCGGCACGTCCCACTCGTACACATTGCCGAACCCGCGGTAGGCGCCTCGGGTCACCCCACGAGAGTCAATCAGAGTCTATAAAAGCTTCTCAGTGATTGTCAACGGGTTTCCACATCATGACACTTACCGGAGGACCGGGGTCAGGCGCCTGCCAGTTGTTGATCTGCACTTTGGGCCGTCCACCCTTGAAGGACAGCGTAGTGCCCACGCGCAGAGTTACCCCCTCCAACTGGCTAGCCGCGAGATCAAAGGTAACGCTCGCGTTCCCTCCAATCTTGGAGAATAACGCCATCGGGAAGTCCTTCGCTTGTGACTTGCCCACAGTGAACGCACCCCCCCAAGTCGCCATACGAACATCAGACGGGTGCATCCGAGTAATCTTGTCACCGTTCTTCAGTTCGAACGGCTGTCCGTCAAACTCGCCGATTCGCCAGATGACCGACGGGCTTGTTTCTGTTGACTCGATATTCTGCGTAACTTTGCCGCCGGCAGTAACGGTGACGGTGTCGTTGCCGACGAGAAATTCGTTGCGATACAACCTCATCGTATATGTTCCTGGTTTCATGAGCGGAGATTCAAATTTTCCAGCTGACGCCTTGGTCCAGTACTGGGCGTCCTTGTTGAACCAATGAATAACTGTCTCGCAATTGCCCGGCACGCCACTCGCAGTGCCACAGACGCTTCCTCGTCCACTGTTCGGTACATATCCCTCTATCCCCAAAGAGTCGAAGAAGGTCGTGTCAAGATCGCTCGATGGCTGTTGACCGTTGCTTTCTAACTATCAGCACACCTGTGAGGTTTCCTCGGCGGGGTCCTTACGTGAACTGCATAGCGTATGGGCCCAAGAGGCCAAATCGCCAAGGCTCCGTTCTGACGTGCCCGCTATTCATATACCAGTACAGTTCCTGGTCTTCCGTGCTCTGGGAGTTGACGTCTCTCATGAACGGACCTCCGGCGGAGTGTTCATATGCGTTGCCGGGCATGATCATCCAGACGCCGACGCCCTACAGAGGTTGGCGTTAGCCAGCACTCGGCTAAGAAACCATGACAATTACTCACGTTACCCGTCACGCCATGGACCTTGTCCTCGATGAACCGATCGGACGTGTACATCTTGCACCTAGTCGTGCCATCCGGGCACTTGAAGGTATCTTTACCCTCGATTGCCACGCAGCCATCGAGGTTGGCAACATCTCCATGCACTCCAGTCGGTACACGCGAGCGCTGAAGCCGTGCAAGCCATCGAAGCTCACCTGGATCAATCTCGCCCGTGATGTGAGTCGCCATATAGACTGTCGGATCACCTGGCTTTGCCACGTAGTAGTGCGTGAGAGGTTGTGATCCGGCTTTGACGGTGATTTTGATGATTCCGTTGAGGGTTTCGGCCGTGACGGCGGAAGTTCCTAAGCCAGAGTTGATCTGCGACATCTTTGTCGTTGCCTGGTATTGGACACCATTATAAAGAAGGCTGATGATGTCGCCATTCGATCTGCTCCTACCGTCAGCATTGCTGCCATTTGTGTTATGCACGCAGAGTGCAGTGGCGTTCTAGTTCGGGAACTGACCGATTCACTTCAAAGACAAGACCACCATTGGTATCGACTTTGTACGACGAGTCCGTCTCGACAAGCCCAAAAGCAGCATATGCTGTCTTCCACAAAAGACTTAGGCAGACTACGAGGCCAAAGAGATGCATCTTGTCGACGACTGTAGGGATATTTCAGATGAAACAAATGAGCAAAACACTCCGCAATCGAAGGGCTTTGCCAACCGATATAACTTTCAACTCCTTTGGATAATAAACTGTCTTCCAGGAGCGACTACCCTGGCGGTGTTAGTCATCCTCCCATCTTCTTTTCGCCATCCATTCCTCGGGAGGGGGGTTGCAGTGCAGCGGTTAGTTGCCCGTAGTTGATTAGCCTAAAAGCTTGTTTGGAATAAGTGCTGAACCTACATGGTTGACCTATCTACTTTGGTAGAGTTTAGACTGTCGGTCTGTGATGCGATTGGTGGAAGCTTTCAACCCACGACTGTACCATTTATCTGCAACGGCATTCGGTAGTGAATATTTGGTAGACTTGACGAAACCGGCCGGAGTGTTACATACCAAGTGATTTTCCGCTGAGTACAAACACTGGGGCAATCTTCCACGCAGGATTTCTGGCCTATAAGAGTATTGAAGAGGTAGGCTTACAATTATGATATGGTGCATGCAGTTAAGTCAAAGTTTTTTGATTTCTGTAAAAAAATATGCCTGCTTGCTCTACTGGGTGTCAGAAAGGAGTGTACAGTATCTTTTCGTGGTGAGTGAGTGTGTCAGGAGTCCGGATCGCTTGTGACTCGTCTGAAATCAACTATTCTGTTGGAAGGACTGGATGAAGTCTTCTGCAGCACGCGTGCTGTCAATGTAAAAGGCTTGTTTTCTCTAAGTCTAGGTGGCCTAAAGCTGGCCCTTAATAGATAGATAGACCTTTTAGGCTACTGACTCATGCGTGTGGATAGTGTCACGATAACCTCAAGTATTTCCACCCACTGCTCCTGCATTGTCAGGTGTCATATCACTTGGTGTTTCATGTTCGTTCCCCTACATATAGGATTCACTTTCTGCATTGAAGGTTTCACATGATTGAGCCTTAGACCTAAATTCGTTTATGCCCTTCTGTGTGCTCTAACTCGTGACAACTGGGTTACAACTGCGGTTCCTACATATACATATATAAACAGTGATGAATTGCGAACCATCATAGATGTTTAGTGTATAAACACAGAAGAAGAGGACATACAAAACTGCCTATCTTCCCCAACATTAAAACAGATATGACTCCTAGGAATTTAATACTGTATGTATAATATAGAAGAAATGTTTAGTCCAAAACCAGTACACTCCACCACCCATGTCTACAACGGAAACACCGACTAACCGCACAATCCGCACGGTAAATGGAGGCTTGCGGCCCAGGATCACCCAAAAAGCAAACACTTGGACGCTGGGGGATTCGAACCCCCGACCTTTCACAGTCCCCTTCCAATATTTCTGAAGCTCTCATGAAAGCTCAGTGGAAAATGCGAAGCGAAAATCATACCCCTAGACCAAGCGCCCGATGATTGGATAATGAAGCTATCCACATTGCGCAATAAGAAAATTCTCCAATTGTGTCGTCCTGTGTCTGTGTATGACCCACCTTAGAATCCTCAGTCAGCAGTCAAACCCCAACACAGATGGACAATAGACTGTGACTGGACCACTCAATTGATATCCTAACGAGCCTAGCTGTAGAAATAATGAGCATGCTTTTAACTACACAAATCACTCTATTATCAGAGACCACGGACAAGAGTCTGCGACAGCCCCGGGGCGCGGTGGGCCAGACGAGTCAAGTAGGCAGGGGCCCTGATAAGTCTCTAACCTACCCACCTAGGGCGCAGGGCTACCATATAATCGCTTTCCGAAGTTTGACATCTGTGAAATGAGAAACTCATTTCCTAATTAAGTCGGGAAGGCGACTTCTTCAAATTGCGCTGGGAGGGTCCCCCTTGCCGAAGCACGCAAGCTGAGACACTCACTTTGGTCCAGAAGACCCTTGAAGCACGGCATCTTTCGCCGAGACACTTTCAGGGCCCCAAAACTTGGACTACATCGGAGAATCGAGTGCTCCGGATTCAATAACGACAACCTAGGCTGTTTCCAGAATGAGAAAGCTCTGCGGTTTTTAGGAAGAACGTGCATTTTTATGAATACAACATGCTAATTTGACACGCTTTGAATTAAGCCTGATACTTTTGATTTGGGTTCCCTTAGAGTGCTATTTTAACCCATTGAATGATTTAAAGACCCCGTAGTTTCAGCTTCTTAGACCAGACACGAGGAGACTCACTATATCCAGCTATTGGAAGGTGTACCACATCTACTGATGTCCTTTCGACCCCAATGCGATGAAGAGCAAGAAGTACGTGGGCTTAGGAGGAAGTACAGCTGTTCACTCATTAGCTGCGGTGATGCCACTGATCCGCCTGTTCTCTTGATGAAGTTTTTGACGCAGTAGGTTTGTGCCCCTGGGACGATACCTTGACATGAGGCTATTGGTGGTCTTCGGAAAGCGATAGAGCGCTCAGCTAATCAAGTGTTTCTTTGTTGGAGACAAGTATACCACATCGAGTTCAATATATCTATACACAACTACAGAAGACCAGATGCCGGTCTAGATGGAAATATGATCCAGAAGCTAGACACCTTACTGTCAAGCTCGATGCCCGCCGAGAGGCATGCTGACACACAATGACCTTCAGCACATGTGATGGATGGTTGCCTAGACGTTGATGCCTGGTCTGGTATCATTTGGTCTTACCCCATAAGTACAGTGTTAAAAGTTACTTTTTACCTTCCCCTATGATCTGCAGTTCACTATATACAATAGCTATTGGCGTAAGCAGTTTCAAGATAGTCTGTCTTGAAGGAATGAAAGGCAAATGACTTTCGTATCATTTATAACGCTGCAAAAGCCTTTGGAATGGTGCGAGTATAAAAGGTCTACGGAACGCTATGATAAAGATAGAAGAAAAGAACAATCAGAACCGGCGTGCGCTCTCTACTGAAAGCTTTTGCTCCACCAAATGGTCGCCAAATAGTCAACCATTACCAGGGAAGGCGAATGCGGTCATTCCTCCCCCGCCACGAACAAACCATACTTTTAGTCCACTCCCACGTGTGAATAGCCACACTCATCGTTCCGAACATAAATAAGGGTATCAAGGAATTAGTTAACATGTACAAAAGACCACCAGACTGCTTGACAATATCAAACAGCTCGCCTCGCATGATACGCAGTGACTCCTCCTCGTTCTTCCATGGGCCCACCAAGCGGAATTTAGCGTTGAAATTGCTGCCCATGGCCCATGTGTATGCGACCCTGAAGCCTTTAGAAAAGACGTAACTGAGTCGGGGAGCAGAGCCGATGTCGAGAGCCAGCTGGTACACGTAGCTCTCATGATCAACGCCGCGCTTCTCGGCCCAGGGATCACGGCCGCAGCGAGGATGTAGCTTCCAGTCTATGTCGTATCCAGGCAGGGCGTTCGGGTCGAGGGGTTCAGAACTCGGCGAATATGTGAGGCCCGGGACGTTGGGATATCTGGACTGAAGGAGGCGAAGGATCCAGAATTGGGTTTGCATCTCAGCCAGTGGTGGAATGGCGCCTTGAAATGATATTAGTAACCAGCAAAGCAAGACTTTGACCGGGGAAAGTTACCCAAATTCGGCCTCACAAACCCGATGAAGCCGACAGAAACGTCATTAGAGTGGTAAATGGCTCGGACATCTGCCGAGTCCGGTGTACCATAACTCTCATCCAGAAATGGGAAGCGGCGGGTGTATCCTGTCGCAAACAGAACCACATCCGGTTTCACAACCATCTGCTTCATCTTCTCGGATTCAGGCCTTCCAGTGTTACGGAAGTGCATAACCCCGTCGTCGTCGACGTACTCGGGCCAGGGAGCGACATCAATGTACCGACCCTTGGTATCGATGTCGAACTCCTTGATGTAGAAGAAGAACCGACGGATTCGCTCCATGGTGGAAAGCGGACGGCGCCAAGGTGCAGAGATATAAGGGACTGCTCGGGTAGATTTCGCAGGGAAGACTGTAGTCATTCGTCAGCTGGCTCCTGCATGTGTTGGTCCGGGGATGCATACAGTGATCAATGTGCATCCTCTCCCGAGGCATTCCCCCGATAAGTTGGTCCCAACCAACAGCCGCTCCGCCGATTAGCGAAAAAGTGACGTCGATCTGTTGGTTGTAGAAATCCCAGAGCATTTGACTCGACTGCAGCTTCGGGGGCACATATGCAGTGTCGAACAAGCTTGCAATTGAGCAGTCAACAGGTTTCTCCTTGAGATTCCCTCCCCTTCCCCAGAACCCGAACATTACAGGAGCCGGCGCAGTCTACATCATTTAGTGCTTGATCAGTGATACCACCGGTTGGAAGCGAGCGTACCTTTGGTGCCACCACAAAGCCGTCCCTGTGACACATGACAACGTGCTTCACGCTCTCGGTTGTGGCAGCAAGCTGTCCGAGGTCCTGTCCGGTCTCTCCGGTGCCAACAATGACAACTGTCGGGTTCGCACTTTTGATATCCCGCAGCTGGTCTCGGGACTTGAATTCCGATGAATGAAGCACTTTGGGGATTTTATCGAGGCCATTGATAGGTGGGATCCTCGGTTCGACGTTCAGCCCGGAGCAGACGGCGACGGCATCGCACGCGTAGTCCAAGGTGGTGCCATCTGAGCGAGTAACGGTGACGATGTGGCCTCCATCTTCAGCTCGACGAACGCGAGTGACTTTGGAAGAACATTCGATGTGAGGCCGCAGCTCGAAGCGGTCACAGTACTCGTTGAGATACTGTACATAAACCTCGGGGGTGACGTAATCAGGGGCGTCTCGGGGGAGACGGTGATCGGAGAAGGCAGTGAGATATTTAGACGATACGAGCTATAGCCGTATCGTAAGCTTCACCCATCCATCAATCAAGAGTAGCGATCCCTTCGGGCGGTGTCACGATGCCCGAATGCGAAAACTTACCTCGGCATCCTCGTAGACTCGATATTTGAAAGTGCCTCCAATATCTTCTTCAGCCTCAAAGACACGAATCTCGACGGGCTCAATGGCAAAGTACAGGTGCGCCCACTTAAGGTACCTAGCCGTCGCCAGACCCGCCGGTCCGGCACCAACCACGGCGACTTTAAGCGGCATGGTAGTTAGCCAGCGCGCGGGCGGCCGGAACCTCCAAGCTGCCTTCTGTTCCAGGGTCCTCCGATGTTGTAATAGTGCACAAAAAAAAACCAGGGGAGATTGGTAGGGAGCACACACCCTCGGGCGCAATGAGGAGCTCGAAAATAAAGGTCAAATTCTGGCGCAAGGAATAGTGGGAAGCCGAGTGGTAGTAGAGGGAAAAAGTGTCCTTTGGATGAGACGACGGGGAAAACGTTTCGGTCTTATGGTTTACCTTACACTTTGAACTAGCATCTGCACAGACAACTCAATCACACCTACACTGGGGACGCCAGCGACGCTCGGCTGGCGAAGTGGCTACTCGGCGTTTCTCGTTTCCCTCCAAGAACATGACTACCGCCGTACCCTACTCTAGAACAGGCATCAACGAGGAAAGGCCCGGAGTTAACACTGGGTTAGTGGCACGATTCCAGTGCTAATACTATGTAACCGGTCTGTTGGGTGGGTCCTCGCGGCCATGTCAGTGAACCCAATGGAAAGGTTCGGTAATTGTAGACAACCTTGCCAAAAGTGCAGTAGTGCGACTTGCTATGCTGCTAGTACCACGCAACTACAAGGAATGTCCTTGTTCTCGTCATGACATCCCAAGACACAAGCGGGGTCAGTAATATCTCCAGCGGGGGCATTATTGCTGTATTACTGTGGGGATATCGGCTCTCAGTCATTGGTTGCACTTGATTGGTTCAGGATGTCGTTTCCTTCTGTTCCGGCAGATGATGTGGGAACTTATCAACAGCTGGAACCTTGCAGCTGGTACTCAAATCCGCTACAGAGTTGCATACTTACGGCTCCGGTCTGAGATATACAGCAGGGTATGAATAACACTGCACCATCGGAATGGGCAGTTCGTCTCATTTGCAATTAGAGCTTGGTGGCATTAGGTCTGGGCCCGGCGTCGAAAGCGGGTCAAGTCAAGGCACAAAGGCAACCGCCACAAGGCGTCGCGCCGTGGTGTTCTAGAGACCCAAGACAAAGCACAGCGGCAAGCCCGGTGTTCTCGGCCGGCCATGCCCGCCCAGTCGAGCTAAGAAGCAATTGGTCGAACTTGGGTGCCACCCGCACCGGCTCAAAGTCAGTGACTAACTGATGGCTGTCAACTCGAGTACTGGGGTCACTGGCGTCGTGGATGCATACACTAGGTAATGAAGAAGAACCAATGCATATCTGTCACATCTCTGCGTTCATGTCAGATTTATAATCAATATTGACCGCCACCTCAGCTCCCTAAAACCTGCTCTATCAACAGATCTTTTTGTTTTAACCTTATTTGTTTTCTTTTTGCAACCATCGTCACAGTGGAAAATGGATCCAATTGTTT